TTGTAGATTGTCTTTATTAAGTTTTGTAGATACCCTTTTTTTTAGTTTGCAGTTTTTGTCACAAATGAATTTGTCATGACTTTTGTCAAATGCCTTTTCTGCATCTATTCTGACCCTGTGATTTTTCTTTTCTGGTTTATTGATGTGATGAATTGCATTAATTGATTTTCGGATGTTGAACAAGCCTTACATACCTGTAATAAATTTCATTTGGTTGTGATGCATAATTATTTCTATATATTCTTGGATTTCCTGATATTAGTGTTAAGAATTTTTTTTTTCTTTGCATCTACGTTCTTGAGACACTGGTCTGTAATTTTCCTTTGTTGTAAGGTCTTTGTCTGGTTTTGCTTGCTGGCCTCAAAGAGATTATAGAGAATTGGTATCATTTCTTCCTGAAGTGTTTAATAGAATTCACCAATGAAACCCTCTGGTCCTAGTGCTTTCTGTTTTGTAAGGTTAATTAAATTTTTTCATAGATGTAAGCTTGTTTAAATTATCTGTATCTCCTTGTTTGAGTTTTGGTAGACTGTGTCTTTTTCAAGAAATCCGTCTATTTCATCTAAGTTAACAAATTAGTGGGCATAGAGTTATTCATGATATTCCTTGATTATCCTTTTAATGTCCAGAAGATCAGTAGTGATGACTCCTGTTTCAATTTTCATATTAATAAGCTTTGTCTTTTCTTTTTTTCTTGGTTAGCCTGACTAGAGATTTGCCGATTTTATGTTTTCCAAGAACCAACTTTTGGTTTCATTTTTTATTGTTTCCACCTTCACAATTTCTGCCTGAGCAGAAGTTGGAATTTTATTTTCTTTGCTTAATTCGCTCTTCTTTTTCTAGTTTCCTAGATTATTTTGTATCTTTCATTTTTTCTAAATGTATTTAATGCTATACATTTCTAGGTACTGTTTTTGTTGCATCTCACAAATTTTGATAAGTTGTATTTTCATTTAGTTCAAAATATGTTATTTCTCTTGAGACTTCTTTGATCCATGTGATTTTAGAAGTATGTTTAATCTCCAGCTGTTTTGGGATTTTTCTATTTTCTGTTGATTTCTAATTGATTTTATTGTGATCTAAAAGCATACTTGGTATGATTTCTGTTCTTTGAAATCTGTTAAGGTATGTTTTATGGCCCAAAATGTGTTCTGTTCTGGTGAATGTTTCATGTAAGCTTGAGAAAAATATGTAGAGTATGAAATGGGTTTCACCAGGACCAAATCAAGGTGTCTGTAGGGCTACACTTCTTCTGGAGTCTCTAGGGTAGACTCTGTTTGCCTTCAGCAGTCAGTTCCTAGACGCTGCTTGCATTCCTGGACTGGAAGCTCCTCCTCCCATCTTTAAAATGCATCACTCAACCTTCATTTATGTGGTAACATTTCCTCTCTCTTTCTGATTCTCCTTCATTCCTTTTTAAAGGACTCCAGTGATTACATTTTGCACACCAGGATAATGCAGGATAATTTTCCTATCCAAAAGTTGTAACATAATAATATCTGCAAAATTCCTTATACCATGTAAGGTAACATATTCATAGGTTCCAGGGATTAGGTATGGACATCTTAGGGGCAGGAGTATGAAGGCCATTATGCAGCCTAGCAGGGATTCAAACTCGATAAGCCTGCTCTTAGAATCACTTCTCTGCTCTTTCTGGCTTTCCTACCACCATCTACACCTAAATGTCTTCTTTATGCTGTCGTAATTGTCTTTATTTACTTATCCCACTAGGATGTGATCTTCCTAAAACAGGACATAGAGCATTTGGATAAAATAAGTTCAGATAAAGGAAATTATATGAAATGATAAGGCGTCAACAATAGAGAAAATCATTGCTTTCATTTGAAGCTCCAGCCTTTTAAGGCTATATGCACATCTGACTTCCACAGTTAACCCCGTTACCTCCCCCGTTATTATTTTAATAATTAAATAAGTATATGCATATATATCTAAACTTAAAGTATCCTCCTGTGGCTGGCTAGTGGCTACTGTATTACATAGCACAAATCTGTAATCTCTACCATTCCCCCAAAGTGCTCTTAGAGAACCTTAATGCAAATGATAAAGATGGTTTGTCTGAAATGAAAATTCTCCTAACAATTTATATTGACTTAATTTTTGGTTTCTCTTTTTGTGGCCACAAAGGTAAGGACTACATGATACACATTTTAGAGGAGTTTTATGTCATTATGAGCAATTGTAGATAGAACAAACTTGCTAAATACTGTTCTTCCAGTCACTGTACAGCATAGTTAATCGTAAAAAGCCTTGGTAGTTTTATTTTGTCATATTCATTTACTTCTAGGAATGTGAGAATTTAACTATTATCACAGGCCACGGTAATAAAGTACTGTGTGAAACCACATTTGGGTAGTGTTTTCATTATCCTGGCAAATTTAACTGCATTTCTATGCAATTTATGTAAACCCCACCCATACTTTAACCTGCTTCCCATTTTGATGAGGTTCAATCAGGGGGGAAAAGCAACAACAAAAAAATCTTCCTGTGTGGCCTGTAGATATCAGATTTGAAGATTATTAATGCATTTCCAGCTAGGGACCATAAGCAAACAAACTCTCCTACAGATAACTACACCCTTCCTGTTCGAGATTGAGTTTACTGTGGAACAGATTTCGGAAATAGGTTTCTGACAGTTGTGAATTTTATTTATAAAATGTTGGAGGGTGAGGCTCTTCCTTTAACAAAAAAACTAATTATTTCCTGTCTAATGCCCAACCAGTACATTTTAAACAGTCTTTTAGAAAATTTCCCCTTTCATAGAGAATTATATTGCTTTGGGCAGTTCTGGTTGTTCTCATCAGCTAATGTACAAAAAGTTGCCTGTTTCAATGAATAATTCAGAAAGGACTTACAATTAAAAAATAAAATCGTCTTTAAATGCTTTATTATCTTGTCTCCAGAGTGACAGTGGCTTACAGTTTAAATAAGTGCATAAACACATTTTAATGTGTTTTTTATCTTTGATATGCAAATCTGCACCACATTTATGTTCAGTAAATATGCTAAATGAAGAGTTACAGTTTAGGTAAAACAGATTTACATTAAAGAATCTGCAGGTTAATTCACAGTGTAACATTATCCTCATCTACTACATCTGTTATAAAGAAGCCTGTAAAATTTAGGCCACCCACAAAGTGGTCTGCTGAGGCCTGTGGTTGATGTTAGAATGCTGTTATTATGTGGGCTGACTGGTTTGGTAAGGAATTTACCTCCACTAAGACTGAAACATCATGGTTCTGACTTTCCCCATGGGGACTGCTTTGGCTTGACTTCAGGACTGAGTGTTTGTTAAACCAGCCAGTGTGCTCTCGTGCCTTGCCATCATATATAGTATCGTGTGAGTAGTATACTGTTCACTCAGTTGGTTTGTTAGAGTAGTGGTATCGATTCCGGGCCACATAAACCTTAGGATAAACTGGAATAAATGCAGAATTACATTTAATGGCTTCTATGAGTATATTTCATCACTATTTAGAAAAACATGTTGGGGGGCTGTTCTGTATTCATTGAAGAACTTATTCTTTTAATTTCCTTGGGGTTTGTGGAATGGTTTTTAAGAACAAGGAAAGGAATTCAGTATAATTCAGCAACCTAGCACTGAGTCAGAATTTAAATATTCTTCTTTAAGTAGCTGTTTTTAAGGGGTAAAAAAATATTGCAGACTTTTAAAAAAATAATAACAGCAACTACCACAACAACTAGTAGTAATCATTAGAGAAATAAAAACTCATAAGCCAAATGTCTCAAGTCACTTCTTTCTAAAGGTTTTCAAAATGAACAAAATCCTTTTTCAGAGAATAAATATGTTATATTGATTTTATTAAATTTAGAAAAATTAAAATTCATGTAACAGTTCTTTTAAAATCTGATAATTTGTATTTCACTTAATTTTCATGTGTACTTAACTGTAATTTTTCTTTCAATACATGAATTACATAGTATGAAAAAGAGCAAAGAAACCTAAATTGCATTTTCTGACTACAAATTAAGAAACTGGTGAGAATATTTAGCAATTTTTGGACAGGAAAAAATATCTAATTGCCACTGATAAAGATTATTTATACATACTGAAGTAAAATAGTAAAATACACATATTGAGGTAGAAAATATATATACATGTATACACCTGTGTGTGTGTGTTTATATACATATACTTGTATACACATATATACATGAACGTGTGTCTTTAACATTGTTTTGATCTTAACTCTGCCTCGGTGACTTTAAATGTGGTTAAATAGAACTTGGAAAGTTTTTTTGTTTTTCTGTTTTTTTGCTTTTACTTTTTTTTAAGTTTCTTTATTTTGAGAGAGAGTAAGAGTGAAAGAGCAAGAGAGAGGATGGGGGAGGGCAGGGAGAGGAGTAGGACACAGGATCCAAAGTGGGCTTTGTGCTGACAGCAGAGAGCCCAGTGTGGAGCTCGAACTCCCGAATCATGAGATCATGACCTGAGCTGAAATTGGACGTTTAGCTGACTGAGCTACCTGGCACCCTGAAAAGTTTTTTCAAATAGATACTTTTAGTCTTTTGTTTGTTGTATACTAAGCAGAATTTTGAATTTGTCGTCTGGTCTTGATTCAGACAAATAATGTAAAGTTAGGGGGTCAGAAACTTTTTTCTTCCACACAACCAAATGAGTAAAGGCGTGAATGTGCCTTACCTAGCAAGCCTTTGTTCTTAGTTCTCTTCTGTAGGCTGATGTCCTTTTAGTAGACTGCCTGACGCTGACAAATGCCATTCCTAACTTCTACAGTCAGTGACGTGATATATCAGTGTTTTTCTACTCATTATCAGCAAATCTCAGAAATAGAGGTTTAAATAGGATCTAACAGTAGTTAACTACTCAAGGGTGAGGAAGGTTCAAATGTATTGTGTCTCCCGTTTTGACTTTAGCATCATAATTCTGCGAACTGCACTAGCTCATTGTTTGGCTAATTACTTTTACTTTTAGCTAACCACAGTGTATTTCACCTTTCTAGGTTTACCGACAAGACTGTGAAACTTTCGGAATGGTTGTGAAAATGCTGATTGAAAAAGATCCTTCACTAGAAAAGTCTATACAGTTTGCATTGAGACAGAATTTACATGAAATAGGTGAGCGGTGTGTTGAAGAACTCAAGCATTTCATTGCGGAGTACGACACCTCTGGTCAAGATTTTGGAGAGCCTTTTTAGAAAATTGCTCAGGCAACAAAAATGTTTCTAGATTTTTTTTTCTTGGATTGTGTAAATCCTTAATATATAGAATTTTTGTGATGAAGAGAAGTACTTTATGATAGTCGACCACATTTCCAGTATCAAATAAACATCTAAAACATCTAAAATAGTCTAAGATATTTTAATTAGAATTTTTTAAATCTACATGTAGAGCCGCCTAATCCATACTTATCTTTTATCCCCCTAAAATGATGGGTCAGTTAATTTTTCAAGCTTTGAAAAAGCAGTCTTGGAGAACAGCTCATTTTCCGTAGTCTTCTGTAGTATGCGATCATTTGTTTCGGTCACACTAGTGTAATTTATAGGTTAGAGATCATTCCACTTAAACATTTATAGTCTTTTTGCATTTCATAGTCCGTGATACCATGTGAAAACGTTAGAATTCTAAGTTGTGATTTTATTGACTTGTTGCTTGTTTTAGGCTTTGTTACTTTTAATATGTTCAAGTATACTGTCCAAATAAACTGAATACTTTAATATTTTACAAAATATTTGCTTTGAGATTAATTCCCATTGTGATAAAATAGAGCACTTAAATCTCAAAAAGACCCCATAGTAAAATCCTATTGTCCAAGTAAATCAACTCAGTGTCTTTTGTTAAAATAATGCTGAAACTCGTGACCAATCTCACAGATGTATGAGTCTTAAACAATGTCATGTATAAGACTAAGAGAAGGGGCAATCTGAGATGAAAGATGAGAGCTATTTTCAAGTTGAGATTTCTTTAAAAACTTCTAATGGAGAGGCATTCACTTTCAAAGAGAGCTTTCATACTGTTCTTTATGATCTTATACTCTAATAAACTTTTGCCTACTGCTCTAAATAAATAAATAGATAAATAAAAACTTCTCATTGAAATAGAAAAATTTGGAATATGAGGAAGTAGTAGAGTTTCATTTTTTTTCCCCAGGCCCGTATTTCTCATCTCAGGAAAAGGTCATTGATAACATATCCACGATCAAACCATTTATACATGGCTTTGTTAATCAGATTATGCCTTTATTTATATCTGTTTGTAGTTGTAACAGGATCTTTGTTGTGATGCCCTTTTTAGGGATCCTTAGCCCTCAAAAGTGTTCTTTAAAGAAACCAAGCAGAGTAGGCAATAAGCCCAGCACAACTACCCCTCACCAAACAGTCTATGTAAACATTTCTCCATGAGTGAGTCGTCCAAATCACGGGTTAGTTAAAAATCTAACTGGGACCATTAGGATAGTCTACTCATTTCCTGATCACTTCCAGCTGCCCAATGGCATTTAGCCAAAATATGTATTTCTGTGGCATTAGGAAACCTTAAAAATCATGCTTGTTATTACTACCCAGTTTCATTATCCTCCCATCCTCTTTCCATTTCCATTCTTTTCTCATTTGAATTCTGGCATTATCTTTAGTGGCTTATATTGATAATTTAAAGAGCTACACCAGAGCAGATAAAAATTATATTACAAGTGGAATCAGCAGTACAAATAATTTTGGTGGATCCTATCTGGGGGCCTCAAAATATGTATTGTCCCATTCCACAAATGTAAAAACTAACTGAGCATAATTATTAAGTTTCCTATATGAGACTGTCTTGAACTCTTATTTTTGCCATTTAGATGTTGTACATAAGCTAAAACTAAATATCATCTCTGGTATTCTTTCCTAATTATGAACAGTGATTTTGTTACCCACTTTAGAAAGAAAAGACTAAGAAAGTACTGGTCTTGGTTCTCCCCTACCCCCATATTTTTCTTTTCCTTAAACATTCTAATTCCAGGATTCACTTCCTTTAGTCAAGATGTTACACGTTTAAAAATACACGTTAAGAAACTACCCTCAAGGCAAATGAGTTTTCATTTTGTTGAAATTCATTAAACTAGAGGTTTTACTTACAGATGCATTTAAATGTAGGTTCAACAGATCATTTCTTTTTCTCCACTTCCCCAAATTATATTCAGCATTTAAAGCTCTTTATAGCTTGCCATCAGCATTATTCTGGTAGGCTTATCAGTGTTAATTCTGTTTGTTTTTGACAGCTTTTTAAAGTCCAGTTTTAGGATAGTTGAATTCAGATTATGTACGAGAGTGTGTATTTTGCAAAATGTTCTTGATTAGTTTGTAAAAAGTATCCATTGTTTTTGAGTATGCCCAGTTGATATGATAAATTTTTCATTGTCTTACCATAAAGCCTTGATGATCAACAGGGGGAAAGCAGATATTGTGAAGGTTTTTGTGAATTTTAAAAGTGCAAAATAAAGCAACCAGGTTTAAATAATGGGATTGTCTTTTTTTTCTCTTTAACAGGCTTAAAGTCTTTCCCTGAAATGCAGATTTTTATTACTCTTTACTGCAAGTTTACTCAGTGTTCAATTTACCCACTCAACAGTAGGATGGAAGAATTGAGAAATGACTAACTTTGGTGACTTACGGAGTCTTGAGAGCTGAGCCAGCAATTAGATAAGATTGAGCACGCACAGTGCTCAGCAATTGTGTAATTATGAATCTGCGTTTCAGGGAGTTGTAGGATTAAAATGTTACCTCTTTATATAACCTTTGGAGGAGCTATGTCTTTGGGACCTGGTTCCTAGCACAGTTTCGAATGTTGTAGGCACCTGTATTCCTTGACACCACAAAAGAAGTGACATCTGACCATAGGTCTTGGAGGAATAGGACTTACTCAGGCAGAGAAGGGAAAGTAATAGAAGTCTAGGAAGAGGGGAATGGTGCAGGGAAAGGGAGAGGCCTGTGTGACTGAAGCTAGTTGGGAAAGATGTTAGGGGACAAGCTTAGGAAGAGATAGGTTAACAATAGCAAGCATGATTTTGAGTATTTGTAGCCTTATCCTTTTTCTTATCATTCAAGAATGTGACATTTGAAAATACTACCTTTGAAAATATTACCTTTGTATTTATTCTTGCCAAAAACATTGATTTCTCACAGCCCCTCAGCCACTTACTAACGCTGAGCCAGTTTGTAGATCCAGAACCTCTTGATGAAAGGGCAGCCCAGCTTCCCTTCAGAAAGGACTCCGCTTACACTTCCCAGATATTACACAGTGGTTTCAGCTTCATTTCAGAGTTTCTTGCAAGAGATCCTAAACTCCAAAGAAGGCCCTGACAGTTCTTTGGTGACAACTTTGGAGACTGTGATCTTATCAAGGATTCATGGTGGACGGTACTCAGTGTTGAGGGCATCCAGCCACCCTGCTGACTTGGCAGCTGTAATGCTGCTCAGGTTGGCACACTCTGCTTGCCAGACTAGGATTTGCGGGTTATACTCTGTACACTTACCATCACCTTCCTGCCTTTTCTCTGGAGAGCACTGATGGTCCTCAATTCAGTGAAAAGGGTGGGGGAGAGGGAGGAGGAAGGGGGGCTAATAACTAAGATTCTGGTTAGCAGAATCTTTTCTCCCCCTTTTCATTTAATGGAGTTGAAACTGAGTCACATGACTGCTAATTAGGATTTTATTTGCTGTGTTTCCCCTTGCAGTTAGGTGTGACCAAGTGACTGAGTGCATTCCTATGGTATTTGAGCGAAAGTACTTCTTCTGGGCTGGGATCCTTAGGACAGTGGATGTGCTCCTCTGTACTCTGTCTTTATCCCTTCCAAGTAGTAGCTAAAGCAACTCACCCTTAATTTGCTGCAGAACCACAAGATGGAAGGAACTTGGATCCCTACATGACCACATGGAGTACTGAACTGTTGTGCGACAGAGGAATAAATGTCTTCACTGTTTAAGCCACATTATTGGTTTTTTGTTAGCAGCTCACCTTTTGTTCAAATTAACGCAAATGGTATTTCAGAGTTAGCTTCACTAAAGTTGGCTCTCAGCAGGCTGTACTAGTCCTGCCTTTCCATTGTAATAATTGATCTTGGGGTAATGGGAACTGAGTGTATAAAAGGCTTTGCCAAGGGCCGCCTGGCTGGCTCATTCGGTGTGGCATGTGACTCTTGATCTTGGGGTTGTGAGTTTGAGTCCCATGTTGGGTATACAATTAAAAATTAAACATACAATTTTTTAAGAAGGCTTTGCCAGTCCACTGAGTTAATTCCAAGTTGTATTTAAAATCTCACTTGATGACAAATATCAATAGAGCCTGATGCACATTTGTATAGCAGTAGAGACAGCCTGATAATACAGCATTGTTTTTTGAGCTCTCTTCCACAGATTAATAGTGTGCTACCATTAGGCCATTATCACTAAAATTATATAAAGCTTAAAGTTTTTTTTTTTCATTCTGTGTGTGTGTGTGTGAAAATGTAGAGGTTCACTGAAATACCAACATTTGAGAACATATCAAATAAGAAAAACCACAACATATACAGACACTTGCTGCAAGAGGACGCGTGAGGTATGTACCCACTGCCTGGGCTGCCCGGGCGCTGGCACGTTTTTCCTGGTTGGAATCCTTGGAACATGGAGAGGGGACAGAGCTGCCCTGGCTGACTGGCCATACAGCCTGCAGGTCTGCACCTGCAGCAAAAGTCCCTCTTGGCCCAGGGCCCAGTTCCTGGGGGTACCCGCTGGCACCCCTACTCTTGGGTAGAAAGATGGAGACCCTGCTTTTTTCCTTGAGAGTGGCGAGGGTTCACTGCGTGGGTAAGGCTGGGTAAGCTGCCTGGGGAAAGGGAGAGGATCCAGTGACCAGAAAGTGTGTCGTCCCTTCATCCTCCAAGTGGGAGGAGTCCATCCTTTGTGGTCAAACCCCTGAGAAAGACACACTGGCCAGATGTCTGCAGTACCTTCAAGTGAGTCCCTCACAGCCAACTGGGTTTCTCTGTCACCAGATGCCAGGTTCTCTCCTCTGCCAACAGCCTGTGCTTGCCTGGTGGGGAAGGTGGAGAAGGCCTCTGAGGCCAAAGAGGGTCAGCCCCCAGTGGATGGAAAGCGTGTGTGCATTGTGTGTTGTGGGGGGCCGTGGGAGGGGAGAGAAAATGGAGTCCAGCAGAGCTGGAGCTTACCAGACCGAAGTATCTGTTCTGTGCTCAAGCTTCTGATTTCCTCCCCTTTCCTTTTCTAGATAGGACTAAGCATTAGCAGTCTGAGGGCTCCTGCTGGCATGGCCTCCCACCACCACAGCCTGACGACACCCAGTGGGTGGTGGTCTGGAAACACTCCAGGGCATACTCATTTGAGAGGTGAGCCTTGTGTGAGAATCCCGTTTTCTTTATGACATAGGAGCCGCCTGCTCCCCCTGCTGAGAGTCCAAGAGGAGAGACGGAGCTTCTTCAACATCTATCCCGTGGAGTGGCTCGACCTCTGCAAGGCCCGCGGCCTCCGTGGCCCGTCCCTGTCCTGAGGTGGGGAGACCTCCTGCCCCGCACCTCGGTAAGCTGGGGCCAGGGGTATGGCACTAGCCCTGCTTTGGCAAAAGTCTCCTATTCTTTCAAACTTTGTATTCTGCTTCTTTAGAGTAGAATCCAGTGTACCATATTGGATGTAGGTTAAAATACTTCATAGGATTCTGAGAAACACCATAGTTTTCAGTTATCTCACTATGTGAACAAGCTTAGAACTACCCTTCTAGTGTTTGGACTCACACTTCTCACATATAATAAACCAGTGAAGATTTTATTTTCATTTTACAGTCAAGGGCAGGAGACATTATAACTTGCCAAATGTCATATAGCTGGAAGTGGCAGACCAGAGGTTTACCCAAATCTTTCAACTCTGAAGTCAGTGTTCTTGCAAAAAGTGAAAAGTTTGGTGGTCATTCAGAAGTAGGTTAAAATCCTGACTCTAGCACACACTGGCTGTTTGATGTATGTGCAGTTAATGTGTAAGGTAATGAGTGATGTAGAAAAATAATTTTATAAAAAACTTTTCAGAACATTCCAATCCCAAGTCAGTATTCTTGTTTTTCATTTTATCCTCAGTTGCTACTGCCTTCCATATTCGTTCCTATGACTTCTGTTTAGGAGCTATTTTATAAAACCCCTTTGAGATTCATCAGGGATAGTTTTTATGAGGCAGGTAGCACGTAGGGTTACAATCCTCACGACTGCGGCGTAGCCCAGGACTTGGCTCTTTGGCCACTGGACCTGGACCTATGGTAGAGTATGAGAAGAGCCATTTAAGTAGAATGAGCTTGGTAATTCAACTCACCCATTCTAGGAACCAAGATTAATCAAGCATAGTTAACACCTTTTCAGCTTTGTTTATAGGATGTTCAGAGATTCAAGAGTAAGATTGCTACCAGTAGCAATCCTCTATGATGAGGGGGAGGGGGGAACCTTCTTCTTGTGGTAATTGGGAGAGAAATAACATGAGGGAGGAAAATGCCTTGCCTTCAACATACTCTATGTAGTCTCCCAACTGTCTACTTGATGAAGACAAAGCCAGTTTGAAGCATATGCATAGATAGGGAAATAACCACCCTCAGACTTTTTCCTCATTATTTACTGTAACCCATGCCCACTGAGAGTCCCAAGCATTGAATTAATAGAAAAATCAATAAAAAATAGAATAAGGCCCCAACCCTTTAAAAAGTTCCCTGCTCCCTCTTTGGAGAGATCTTTTCAGGAATCTTTGCCAGACAAAAATGTCTGTAAATGAAAGAGTCCGAAAAGGGAAAAACACTTTGTGCTGAAAGATTTTTCTAACCTATAAATTCAGTTCGGTCTCCACAGAAAACAGAAGCTAGAAGGAAACCTTTGAGAGGGCCTAGCACTCTCATTTTATAGACGTAGAAACTGGGTCAGAGCACGTAACCTGCTTGGGTTAATGAGAGAGGTGGGTCTCCTAACCAAGACCTCCTGAATCCTGGCATGCAGTGGGCTCTGTACCGCTCTGTAAGATCAGCTTTGTGATGATTTGTATTAGATTAGTAACCATCTTTTCCATTGTCAGTTGCTTGGTTCATTTATCTAGAAACACTAAAGTATTAGCATTTTTGAGAACTGGCTTAATATTCTTTTTTTTAATGTTTATTTTTGAGAGAGACAGAATGTGAGCGGGGGAGGGGTGGATAGAGGAGAGAGACCCAGAATCTAAGGCAGGCTCTGAGCTGTCAGCACAGAGCCTTATGCAGGGCTCGAACTCACAGGCCGTGAGATCATGACCTGAGCTGAAGTCGGAGGCTCAACCAACTGAGCCACCCAGGTACCCCAACTGTATATTATAACTGGATTCATATTCTTAAACGGTTGTTTGGAATCAAATGCTTTCGGAGAATGGGCTACAAGTTACATCTAAAGTTGGCATAACAGCACCTTGGGCACACACAGCAGTAAAGAGATGGGAAATTTCCTTTGCAAAAAGAAAAGTTGAGGCTAAAACTAATCCCTGAAATAAGAATACTTCACCAACTAGCTGGTTCGGTTCAAAAATAATGAATCAGCTCAAGTCCTGCGGCCAAGTCTATATATACTCAATGTTTTTGTTCTATATGGTCTTCCCAAACCGTTTTTGTGAAAGCCATGGTTAAACTTTATTCCCCTGGTGAAGTTTATGATCCCGTGACCTTGGAAAAATGTAAGCTCAGAAGGGCAACATTCCGTTGCTCCTGCTGCCATCCCTGGCCCAGCTCACCTGGGAACCTTCCCAGTGTGTCAGCAGAAAACCCCTGCGACTGTGCACAGGCATGCCTCCCGTTTTCAGAGCGCTCCAAAGAATCGCTAGCGAATGGAACCGGGCAATTAACACTGTTCTCATTTGACTAAAAAGGACTTTTATCATAATTATGTTACCAGCATTGAATTGGTAATGAGGCTGTTAGAATTTTATCTGTTTTTCTCCTTTGTGCATCAAAAAAAGGTCACAAGTATTTCTGTAAATATTAATTAGTTGTGCCTCTCCTCATTACCTCTGAGGAAGGGGGAATCACCTTCAGGCTGCAGAATACAGATCTCCTGCACTGGAGATTTGCCCGCGGCAGGCTCCCTTTGCTCAAAGGGTTTCAGAAACGTTTGAATTCGTCGCTAGCACGGAGAAGCCGGGAGATTCGGCAAATGTTTCAATTCCTGGTTTCTAAGAATGTGAAGGAAGGCCGAGCACCACTGGTTCTCCTTTCCCTGGGAGTAGTCAAGTGTCCGTTAGAAAAGAAGAGCTCAAGAAACCAAAGTACGTCCATGCTGTGTTGCTAATACCTCTGCTAAAATCCTCGGGCACTCCTGAAATTTACCCACACCAATACCTTCAGGACCCATCACCCAAGAACCAGTTGGGCAGGGACGTGTGCCATACCTGGAAATCTAGCAGCCTTCGGTGCCCGTTCCAGTTTTACTACTCTTTTAAGAAGGCCCACGATCTGTATCTAAAGTAAGAGGGTTAGACAGCAAATGATACTTCTTTTTACTTTTGGTGCTTTTTATTTAACTCAGGAACTAGAAGGCAGAGCATCAAGTATAGCAAATGCATACACAAAATGAATCATCTTCTTTGAATGAGAGCCGGAAGGGGTCCCCATTGACATTTTATCAGTGCCCCTTCGTGGGCTTTAAGCAAAATGTTCTCCGGTTTGCTCTGAAGTGAGGAAAATGCAATAGTTAGGGTTCTGTCTCACACGTGTAGAGATTAGAGACAGTGTTCTAACATTTGATAAGTATTGGGACCGATCTGACCAGATACTTTGCACTCTTGTTTAACTAAGTCTATGTACACCTCTTGGCAACTACATGCTTCACTTTCTTGTCTAATTCTTCACAGAACTGCCTTGCAAGGCAGTTCTTTCCCTTTCTTTGTAGCTCCTGTTTTTTTGCTACTAACCAAGATTTAAAAGCTTTAAAGGTCCTGTTATTATAAGTACTTCTGCATTTCTTTAGGCCTTTAGCAATCTTGTATAACCCTCTGTTGCCAGAAGCAAAAGGAGCTAATCAGAGAATGACTTGAAAACTACCGAGGACAGTGACTTCAGCTCCTACTCCCATTTCTCCAGACTGTGTATCACGGTTTACTATTTAGTCTCCCTCTTTTCTAGGCAACACATCACAGCAGTCTTTTTCTAAAAGGTGGCAGCTCAGGTTCTGAAAAGGTCTTCAAGAACAAGAAATCTGCTAATGGGTTATGGGAGACTGTGATGGAAAAAGCACCCTTGTACATTGTTAGCGTAAATGTTGATGGGGCAGATTTCTTGTGGAGGAAAACTGGGGAGATCCATCAAAATCATAATTGAGTCCCTCCTGTCCCAGGAATTATGCTCCTCAGATTTTATGTGTATATATGCCAATACAGGAGAAGGTATCTATGAGGAAATTCAAGTCCATGGTTAAGTCAATTATGGTGTATTATACCATCACTGAAAAGAATGAGGTAGACCTATTTGTGCTAATGTGGAATGTCCACATATAAAGTGAAAAGAGCAACTCTAAGCATGCATGTATAGTTGGCTACCATTTTTAAAAGAAGTATTTACATAAATAGGCTTTGAACATCTGAAGGACACTAGAAATGATCAATAGTGGTTACTTCTGGGGAGTGACCTGATGGACTAGAGATGAAGGGTGAAAGGAGATAGTCCACTTCTTTTGAGTTCATTTTGTGTGTGTGTGTATGTGTTTGTTACCATGTGCATGCATCTCCCTTTCACTGCTGACATGCTTTTTTTAAATGAACCAGACCAGAGAAATAATGACACAGTTGTTGAGTAAGTGCCTCTCTCCCCAACTGTGTTTCTGAAGTCTTTCTTTCTGTCCAGCCCAGATACACACCCCTGCCCTATCTGGGGATGGGTGTAGGGGATGCTAGGCTGCTAGTTTACCTACTGGATTCAGGTCCCCCTTCCCCACGGCCTGACAGCTTTTCCCCATTCCAGTAAATATGGAGAGCTTTGCCTCAAGTCCTATTTCCCACCTACTAACTAGTACAGACAAGGGGGTATGCAGGAGTCAAACGGTGACGTATTAATGGTAGAAGAATGGGAAACCATGCCTGAACAGGGGAGCAAAACAGAAGTCACCCGGATATGTTTGCAAAGATCTGTGTTCCGAAAGGTAGTTTGTTATTTATCAAACATTTATTAAATACCTTCCTATAGGTCCCGGGTACCACTAGGACCTGACTCAGGACTGAACTGTATGTGCAACAGTCGCACATAACAAACTATCAGCTCATTAGTTCAAATTCAAGATCCTTTTTCCTTGAAATAGAACCTCATATAAACTTGAAGTAGTCAGTGGCACAGCATCCTCTGAAGATTTCAAAAGAAAAGGGCCCACAAGTTAGCTGGAAGGGAGGGGGGTAAAAAGGAATAGCCTCTCTTCAAATGCTAAATCTACAAAGTCCTCTGCCTATAAAGCAGATCTTGTAGTTTTGGTCTCTTCTCAGGAAATAATCACCACTCTGTTGAAAATGGGAAAGGCACCCCCTACCATCCCCGAGGCGGGGGGAAAAAACATTCACCCGAACAGCTTCTACTTGTTTTTACCATATATTCCAGGGATATGTATGGGGGTTTTTGTTTGTTTTTACATTTATACAGTTTACATTGCTTGACCCATAAATAGCACTCGTAAGATTAATAGGGCCATAGTTTTAAAGAGTATTTACATAGCCCCACCATGCATACAGAGCCTTTTTAATATTGAAAAATCAAAAAATTTGAACCTTCCATCACTAGGCAATATAAATTTGACCTTCTAAGCTTATAAACCCTGACTAAAGTACAAGCAATCATTTCATCCATAAATGCTGTTTCTGGTTCCCCAACAAATCTAGCACTGCAGTGTAACAAATGTCTTGCAATTCAGGGATATAAAAATAATCAGCTTTAAAATCTGACCTGTACAGTATGTACATTAATATTTGCACCGTTAAATTAGGAATACACTTAAGTCTATGAAATACTACATTATAAATAGCAATGTCTTTGTCAATCTGGAGCTAATACAATGCAGTGTTTACCTGGCTAACTGAAAGGGGACGAGGTGGCCTCACACGATGGGATGCACAGTACTGGCTGGGTTCAGCGTGACTACGTGCGTGCCGCACAAGACGGACAGACTGATCAGGACCTGGGCCAACCTGGTGTAGACAGACGACACACACTATCACTTTACAAAGGTGGCGGAAGTTCTCCGTTGTCTAAAGTAACACCCCCGTCCAATCACCTCCTGACAGTTTTCTTGAGGATTCTCTGGAGGACTGGAGACCAAAGCCGCTACACAGGACCGTAATGCACCTGACAGGCACAAGGTGGGGCATCAACCCGGCACCAGCCACGGAGGGCAAACTGGGGAAATCGCACCTTCCGAATGTTAATCTGACACCGTGAACAGCAGCAGGGGTCTCATTTACATGGGCAAAGCACTTTAAACTATTTTAGCAACTTTCCTATGGAAGAAAAAAGATAGATAGGATTCGAGATGGTTAATGGCAGTTTAGACATGACCCCCACAGCTACTAGGTTAGGAAATAATACAGTTTTTGCCCTTGTGTCCCTTTTTCTTCTTGGACTTAGTTGTTCTCTGACCAAACTGAGGAGTGGGGAGTGCAGAAGTTGGGCTCGAAAGGTCGTCTGTATAGTAGGCGTATCTCTGTGGCCGGGGTTGAGGAATCGGTTGTCCCAGAAAATAGCCTTCTTCTTCCGAGTCGGAGGAGGAGGTGGTGGAGGAGCACCAGGAATCATCGTCCTCCCCGTAGAGTCCCAGAAACCTAGGCAGTCCTGGGTTCTGCAGTGCGTAATCGGAGGTGGCATGGGCATACTGTCCGTACAGATCGGCGTTCTGGATGTATGCCTGGATTTCCCGGGCGCTCTTGTTCTGTATAAACTTCTCGTAGTTGTCAGGGGTGTAAAGGCGCAGTCTGTCCTTGGGAGAGTATTTTCTTTCTGTGACAAGGTTCAGGGCGTTGTCAGAGCGGGACTTCCTACTTCTCCTGCGGCGATGGTGATGAGACCGGGATCCCCTCTCTTCAAAATGGTAGACCCGTCTTCGAGTCCTTTCACTCATTGGAGGCTGCCGGATTTCAATGTTGTCATAGTTTCCGTTGTCAATGACATCATCCGAAAACTTGACCTGCTGAGGTCTGGATTGAGACTTGGATCTTCTCAGCACTGGCAGATGTACTGGTTTCTCCTCAGGCATGATTTTTTCTGGACACAGCTCTGAACTTAGACTCTTCAAGGACTCTGCGCTCCTGTGCAGCATGGAAGAGTTCAAAGTCCCCATATTGCTCATTTTCTCACAATCTTCTGCCTCCATTTCCTCAAAGTTTTGCAGGGAATATAATGATGGTCTCGGCTTGCTTTCTCCATCCACTGAAGCCCCTAGGAAGAAAAGCCAAGACAGAATGTGATCTTCTGACATTTATTAGACACAAGCTGCTGAAAGGAAGCATTTCAAAGAAAATTCTCCAAAATGTCAATGTTTGATTAACACCCACCAGGTGACACCAACAGGCATATATACTTGAGAAGGTTTGGCTTTTATTATCGATACGGGGGGCATAGCCTCTTACAAGCCCAGCTCTCTTGTGGCCAAACATTAGTTACAGCACATGTCACGAGCAGCAAACATTTTAAAGCTTCTCCACATGTAGAACATGACATGCAGCCAGACTACTTCACTTGAACATCTATCAATCTCTTCCTTTGCATCCACCTGGCCACGGTTATGATCCTTTTATACTTAGATTAGTCGTCAGCAAACCACAGCCCAAGGGCCACATCTGGCCCACGGCCTATTCGTGGATAAAGTTTCACGGGAACACAGCCACAACTATTCACTTACACATGGTCTATCGTTGCTTTCTGCAATGACAGAATTGAGTGGCTGCAACAGAGACTGTATGGTCCAAAGAGTGCTATCAAGCCCTTTAGAGAAGTTTGCCAAGCTCTGACACCTAGATCATCAGATCCAGCCTTCTTCCCCCTTGTCCTCTATAACATATGCTATTTTCAGACTAACTTTACTTTAATAAAGCTCTTCTCAAAACAGATATTGCTCTCCTTTCTTAGCAGGGCCCATGCAAGCCAAAACAAATGAATCTAGCCCAGCAGATTGTAAGTGACCAGGGCATTGTGCTGACAGACTACTGTCAACTAGACTACATAACTTCCCACTTTCTAGAGGAAGCCTGTTTCTCAGCCCATTGTCGTCAAGGAATATCAGCCCAACCCCTTTATGTGTACCTAATGAGCTCTTTTTTTTTTTTTTTTGCTAAGTGTGAAAACAGAGCCCAGCAAACAATATATTCTTAATTTAGTCCCACCCACTTTCCTCAACTCCCCTTTAGTGTAGGCCTGCCTCATCTTTGGCAAGTCCAGTAGAAACCAGGAGGGTAGCTTAAGTCTTAATTCCTCCTTGCCAGGGTGATTCCTGGCACTGGGCAGCCAGTAAAGCCTTTCCTGTGTACATTAAAGTAACATAACCTTTATGAAAGGACTGAATATCATCAGTTTGACTATAAAACTAGCCATAGCCTTTGCTAGCCATGGACCAGTAATATTTCTATGTTCAAAGACTTAACGTAAACGTAAGATTCGGGAAGGGTGGGTTCCAGACTCAGTCTTGCCTTTAAAAACCTATGTAAAGTTAGGCATTTAGCCTATTGGTGATTCAGGTTTCCTCCTTTGTAACACAGAGTAGGTAATATCCACTCTATACTGCTCAGGATCATTTTAAGGATAAAATGTAGATAACGGATATGAATATGCTTTGAAAACATTAAAGCAATTTTTAATCTGGATAAAAAACATTGAGCTATTTTTGAGCTATCTGTTGCCACAGGGCAATTCAGGAAACTATAAAAGATGGCTATGAGTTTATCAAGTACACAGGCTGATTTTAGCATCTTGAAATTCACATAGCATAATCTAAAGAGCACAGGATCTTTCAGACACAGATGGAGACTCCCTTATCCACAGAAACCGGTTTCTTCCTCTTTAAGGATAATACCTATTCAAGCTTCTATTAAAATGTATATATGTGCACACACACGTAGGCCCATGTTTATTTTGTTAGCGTTTGGCATTTAATGTAAACTTCTTCCTTCCCTTGGTCTACAGTTTTAAATAACACAGCCCCTACTGCTGAACCGTAGTTTGTAGAACAAATTTTTTAGTGGCTCTTTTTTTAAATACCCCATAATCCCTAGGATTGCGTACCTGTGATATTAGATAAAGCCAAAGAATCCATAGAATCTCGAACACTTTGCTCTGGTTTCAAGTCTGACAAACACTCCAGGGAATCTTCATACCACTGCGTTTGATCATGATTATATCCTGAAGCCCCTTGGTCCAGATCCAATTCCTGGAGCCTCCTACTGCTTGCAGGGCCTGGGTGGCTGCCATAAGCAGAATCACCCAGCCCATCTTGTGACTGTGCCCAGTACATATCAGATTGGTATTTTTTACTTGCAAGGCTCTGGTTATTTTGCTTTAACTCGGTCTTATTTTTAACCATGTTATCAGATATCCAGTGCTCACCGGCTCGAATATCTAGCTCATTGGGCGGCTGCTGAAAGAGGCTTTTATCACCAAACTTGAGGAGGAGCTGCGTCATATAATCTTCATGCTCGGCCCATTCTTCAGGGTCTTCTGGGGTTTCGTGCTCCGCTCTGCCTTTCCAAAATTCTTCATTGACAAAACCTGCTCCCTGCCTGGAGAGACTCAGATCCTCCAGCTTCCGAGAAAGGGTGTCTTCAGCGTTGCCTGATAGGCCGGGAAACTTGTAGTTCAGAGCCGGGGACAAGAGCAGAGACTGTCTGCACTGATCTGCTGACCGACTGCTTTTGCCCATCCGGACACTTCTTCTAGAGTCTCTTGATCGAGCTGACTGAAATGCAGAGTCAGAAGAATCAGAGGCATGGACGTCTTCACCAAGGCTGCATGTTTTCGAGCAATAAATCTGACCTTGTTTGGGGAGGAAGGGACACCCCAACAAAGAAGCCTTACACTGGGCACAAGAAAAGCAGGCCTCTGTAGCATGCCAGTGCTGCCCATCGTAGGTCATCTGTGCATGGTCGACACCTGTTTTGAAAAAGGACAGTAGGGGGTTACAGTTCAATCTTGACATAAAGAAGAGAGAGACAAGATGGTGTACGAGGAAATTCTAAGAGGTGACGGAAATGTTCTGGATCTTCAAAGGGCTGTGGGTCACACAGGTACGGTTAATTCTCATTATTCACAGATCCCATACTTTTGAATCTGCCTACTTGCTACCATGTATCCGTAGCCCCAGAATCAATACTTGCAGAGCTTTCAGGGTATTTGCTGACAGGTGCAGAATGATGGAAAATTTGGGCACCGATGTGCACTTTCCCAAGCCAAGGGCAAACAACCGATGCCCTGTGGGTCTCCGTACTCATACATATAACAGCTGATCCAGCCACGGTCAATTTACAATCAGGTTTTTTTTGCATTTTTGTGCTTTCTGTTAATTCTGCTGTTTCTTTTTTTTTTTTAATTTTTTAATGTTTTTTATTTATTTTTAGGAGAGAGAAANTTTTTTTTTATTTTTAGGAGAGAGAAAGACAGTGTGAGCAGGGGAGGGTCAGAGAGAGAGAGGGAGTCACAGACCGAAACAGGCTCCAGGCTCTGAGCTGGCAGTCAGCACAGAGCCCGACGCGGGGCTCGAACCCACGAACCGTGAGATCATGACCTAAGCGAAAGTCGGACGCTTAAACGACTAAGCCACCCAGGCGCCCCTAATTCTGCTGTTTCAAAGGGCTCCCAAGCATAGTGCTTAAGTGCGTGCTGTGTACTGTTCATAAGTGCAAGAAGGCTGTGATGTGCCTCACAGAGCAAACGTGTGCGTTAGATCTAGAAGCGTCATTCAGGCATGAGCTACAGCGCTCTTGGCTAGGAGTTCAATATTAGTGAATCAGCTGAAAATGTGAGCAGGCCCTTGCAGGACCCCAGCCCTGTATTTCCCCCAGGAGCAATGGTCCAGTCCTCAATGACCCAGGTGACCTTACAGAACACAGCCATCGCAAATAATGACAACTGACTAAACACGCTTTGCTGAAACTCCCCAAACTAAAACACTTAAGATCTGTACGTTGCCCTGTAAGTTCTAGAGAACAAACCCACACTGGCTTGGAAATCACGGGCCAGCTGCGCACTTACCGATGTGCTCCCCACAGGTCTCACAGTACTCCGCATACAGAGACTCAAAACAGCCGCAGCAGAACGGGCGGCCATCCTTCATGATGTATCTCTGTCCCCCCAGGACCGTTTCACACTCCAGGCAGCAGAAGTGCTTCATGTGCCAGTGGCGGCCCTCGGCTTCTGTGCACTCATCAGCAAAAATGATCTTTAAAAGGAAATGGGATGAAAAGATCGTGGCGAGCTCTTCTAAAGGCCGAGTAACTGCATGTTTTCCAGACAGCTGACAGACACTGGCTCTAAGAAACCACTTACCTAGCTAACCTTGTTTCTTACAGCCTCAAGCTCAAATCTCACTGGATTTAGATACAAAATAAAAGCAGGAATTGAAAACGTTGAAAAAGAGAAACTCAGTGCTTGCTTAAACTTAAACAGATTTTTACATCGGAGATAATTTGGTCATATTTTTGCTCTCCAATCACACTTTGTTGGCGTAATCTGGCATAGCGTACGTTAACACTGAAATAATTTAGTAGTCTGTAGTTTGGTACTAAGCTCATAAAAATGTCTGCAGTCAGCAGCTACAGCTATCCAGATGCTGGGCTGTGTGAGCAGCATGTGTAGATAATGCTTCATTTAACCTGGTGGTCAGGTCCAGGTTAAAGACTTTATTTTTTATAATTTTGGTTTCAAAGAAATTTCAAATTACACATTACTGAACAAAACTGAAAGAAATGTATAAAAGCAAGCCCCAATAAAGCTGACGGTCACTGTTTGAAGGAGACTGAGGAGACAAAGAATAAATGCAATAAGGTACCCTGGACTGGATTTTGGAATAGAGAAGACATTAGCAGAAAAACTGGACACCTAATTATAGTCTGTAGTTACTGGTATTATGCCAATGTTAATTTCTTGGTTTTGATGCATATACTATGGCCATGTAAGCTGTTAACAACAGGGGAAGCTGGGAGAAAGGTCTACAAAACACTCTGTCATCTCTTCAAGTCTTCCATAAATCTAAAATTACTTCAAAATAAAAAGCTTTAAAAACACAATTCCTTCCACGTCACCATCCCTTCCCATACACCCCCGGGGGTAACCACGGTTAACTCAGTATATGTCTTTCCATGCTAGTTCTGAGTGTGTGCAGACATGTACACAATCTTGACTTGTTTCTCCCTTTATGTAACAAAAAAGATTATCTACCACTTACTATTCTTGCAACTTGTTTTCTTCTCTCACAATGCATCAAGGACATCCTACTTACCAACACACAAACACACCTGCTGCCTTCTCTTTATTAGCTACATATCATTCCATTATATGAGTGTACAGGATTATTTTTAAAATACACAGGCAAAAGCAGGAGATTATTGATATTTTGCTTAGATGTGTGCAGTGGAATACTGGCTTACTAGAAGCTTATTTTTCCCAGTGTTCAGGGATAAACTTTTTTTTTTTTTTACCTCATCACATGCTGAACACCGTGGTTTGAGCAGTTCAGCGTGGTGCCTGCCACAGTGAATTTTTCCATCCTGATAAAAATAGATGAGGTCGACCAGCAGCTCGTTACACGTGTAGCAGACAAAACAGGAAGGGTGCCAGCACACTCCAGGGCCCGCACGCGAGGCAAACACTGCAATTTCACCTCCATTTATCTTCAGCCCACACTAAAAACAAAAGGATTTGAAATGGAGATGATCCTTCTTTAATGACTGGATGCTCAGCCTTCCCTACTTTACACTAAATCCCATTATGTCAAGAAAGCTTTTATTTGTGGCCCCTCCTGTTAGTGATGAAATAGCTCTTTAACGCTGGACTATTTCTGATTCTTAACTGGAATGAACACGCCTCAGATACACTACCACACGAGACTGGTCCTAAGAATGGTTTCATCCAACTCGCATGAAGAGGCCTCTTCCTGAGCCAGCTCCTCTTGCGTACATTTCCCACGCTGAGCCAGGAAGCGTCTGAACGTCTTCATTCTGTTTCCGCAGTTGGGAACACTGGGTGGACCCTCGCACCTCTCCCCACGCCCAGATTTCACCTGATGTTTACACAACGGCAGACTGACTCCCCCTGCTACAAACACTGAGGTCCATTTCTTGAAAAGCTAGGCTGCCTTGTATTTTTTGGAGGCTTTCAGGGCCCCCACCTGTGCCAGGCCTGTCCTCTGCCCCAACCTTACTCCATCCACGCCACCACCACGAGCCACCCATCCTGGAAAGGGCTACCTGCTCGCACACGGCGTGCATCACTGCTCTGGACAAAAGTTTAATTGTTCCTCTTCCCAGTGCTTCTTTCTTCCTTTGAGCGCTGAATACCTGCAACTCCTTCTTCTCCTCTTCACTCAGAGACTGGCAATACCGTACCTTCAGAGACAGAAAAACAGAAGCACCACCCTGGGGCGCTCAGTCTCCCTCACCAAGTCGGGATTTCCAGGGTTAGAGCTTCAGCAAAGAGCAAGGCTAGCTGGCCTGCCCCATGAATCCCCAATTTAAAAGTGGCACCACACCTTTAAAATGACATCAGATCCACAGCCTCTCCAACAAAAGGGAAATGCAATTCAAAGGAACTTTTTTCTTAAATAAGGAGAGTTTCAACTTTTATCAGAGACACAAAAATGGAAGACATTAACCTTTCTACAAAAGGTTTCAGCTTGTTAATTGCCACTTTCACTCTCCATCCTACAGCCCCTCGGCTGCACTGCACGGCCGGCCCTGGCCACCAGAAAGCGCTGGCTCTGGCTGAAGGGGCAGGGAAATCTCAGCAATTCGTAGTTCCCGTAAGTGGTGGGTGGCTGCAAACACCATAAAAACCAACTTGTTGTTAAGTTTATTGCACTGACACCCTTTTCTCTCGCAAAGAATGGAAAGCTGTATTCTCAAGGCAAATTTTAACTGAAGAAAGAGGCAAAAGAGCCCTAGGCAGTGAGGAGGTAGGGTTTATGAGAGGCATCTCAATGTTTAGGGTTTATTTTTTTTTTTAATTAGGCTTCTTCCTGATTTTTACCTCATTATCATGTGGCGGCAACTGGTACAATAGCTGTTTAATACGATGTTTCTCTCCAGGGCTGTTAACATAAGGAACTTTTTCCTCTGGTAAGCAAGCAAAGTAGAGCTGGATCTGGGTAAGGGATGGAAAGGAGGACATCAGCATACCGGACATGAACATCTTAGCTTACATTCCATCTTAGAAAGTTACCTTTTCCTTTAGGTACAAGGGTTGGCCTCTTGTAGCTAATGAGAAGACCAGCTGAGCCAACTCAGCAGAACTGCGAATCTTCAGATAGCTAGCATCCAGCTGCTGAATTGCTCTTCAGGAATGTAATTTGTAGTGACAATTAGGGGCATCATAAATTATGCACCATAAAACGTGCACACTTAATGCTACTATTCCTCAGCCAGCCTCCCTAGGGTCAGCCAAGAAAGAGTGCTGCACATGACCACACAGGCTGCTTGACACCGCCCCAAACCCAGACGCTACACGGGCACACTCAATTTGCTCTCTGAATTTTACACGTTACAGAGACAAAAGCTGTTCTGTTAAACTTTGTAAACTCTCCCTTATCAGGTTCTCTCAAGCATCAGCTTTCTTTGCTTCCATGGGTGTTATTTTCTAAGTACCTGGAGTCTGTTTCCCCACTATAACTGGAGGGGAGCCATACTGCGCTGTACTGAGGTCACTTTGAAAGGAGAACTCCATTTCTGTTTGGGGTTTTTCCCCCGTTAGATTTCAAGGAATCTCCCTTAATGCACATGGGGTACTTTGCAGTGCTGAGAATGAAGGTGGTTTGAGGGGAAAATGATCAGGGAACTGAGTGCTTGTCTGCTTCAATATCTTAGCATCACACAAAACCTACCCAATCATAAGCTGCAAGAAGGGATTCTCTCCTAGTAAGTAGTCAAAATTCTGCTTTCCTAACCATTATGCCAGCACACCACCTCTCCTCCCCATTGTGTCCGCCACAGAAGCTTTTACAGCTAGAAGTGCTGCTCAAATACCAGCTCCATGTGCACCGGGTACTGGGCTGTGTAGATGCGTCAGGAGCCCCTATCCCCGGAAGACCCCAGCATGCAAGAAACCCCCATCACCCAGGAGCAGCAGCACACCCAGCTGGGACCTTATATTTCAAACTATGGCTTCTCCCACTTAGTATCTGTCACTGTGAGTTCATCATTATAAGGATATTGGGGGGGTAAATCTGCATATATAATACTCTCATCTTAAAACAACAATGCAAAGCACAAAATTAGTAGTATTCCTTTTTTTGCAATCCAGTCTGTGGTGACAGATTCTTTTATGTGTCAGGGTATCAAAGGTCAAACGTCTAAGCAAGAACACTTCAGGTGGTTTCTTACAGCTCCGTACTTCTCTTCCAAAGCACAAGCGTTGCTCAGAGCTGGCACGGAAACGTTCCTCTTTCACTACCTTTTTGTTGTTACTGATGTTTTTAAAAAGTTTAAATTCCTCTCTCTCCGAAGAGCCGAGTCAGATCTCCACGTAACAAATGCAAAGCTAAGCAGGACGCAGGACGCCACTCGTTAGAGCAAGACTCGCATCACTGTACGGCTCAGGAGCACAAAATGACTGCAAACTTTCACCGAGGAATTAAGTATGCCCTTCCAGAGCAAACATTGATACTATCCGAAGGGGAAGCACCAAGGAGGGTAGCACAGCATGTCAGCAGTGGCAGTAACGGTGTATACAATTTTTTAGCCACTCTCAAAAACAAAAACCCTGCAATGTTGCTGGAAGACCGAGCACGCGGGGTGAGGAGGGCCCACCTGCTCCGGCCGCAGGCCCGGGGGCACCCAGGCGTACTCCTCCAGGGCACAGCCAGAGTCGTCGTCTGATGTGGAGCTCCTCTGGCACCCAAAGGCAAGCTTGCTCATTTTGGGCTCCATCTCCAAAGGCATAATAATGAGGTGAAAAGGCTGGCTTCTCAGTCACAGGACATCAAACGATGGCTGCTGTGGACAACATAGGGGAAAAAAAAAACAAAGAAATTAAAACCTGAAGGCACTACTCTTGCCCTCCAGGGACTTGTATGGAATGTTTACACACAGCAGGGCCTAGTTTTCTAGTAACTATACTCGTTTCTAGTAACCAAATTACCAGTGTCCACACCCCCAACCCCACGGAAACTGCAGAGCTAGAGCTACTCGATTTAGAAGCAGCCCCCTGAACAACTTGGCATTTCAGGAGGTGCCACCAAAGCCAGCTTGGTTCCAGCCGCCTTTAACAAGCGCCTCTAACATACTAGTCATTAGAAAGGTTCCCAAGAAAACTGCTTTGTTGACTTTCTAACTTTCCCACCAATAAGACCCTGTGAAGTCTTAGGAGCGGAACAAGTGTCAGAGACGGCACCCCCCCCCCCCCCCCCGCCCTGCCCGCTGCTTATGTGCTCCCCACACCCCACCCTGCTCCTGGTTTCCTAATCCCAGCCGCTTCCTGCTGCCTGCACACAGTGGGTCCACGGGCAGGCTGCTCAGGTTTCCAGTTTCTAATCATGTTCTGGAGAGACAGTAAACTTCATTTACTCATTGAGTAGAAATAGCAGTTAAATCCTTAATATGGCACATTCAATCCAAAAGCCTTTAGTATCAATGGGCGAAAGAAAGTCAGCCAGATGGTTCATTAATGAGTTCCTTCAGCAGAAAAGTAACTGAATCCAAGCACGAGGCTAAAATAAAACCCAGCTAGCTGACTATTACTGTGGAATTGTATTACCAGCAGGCATTCATTGAAAAGTCACACCTACTATGTGCGACAAGCTAGCAGCCAGCTACTGGGCAAAGTAAGACACAAACCCAGTTCTGGGCGGAACGTCTTTCTCAGATGGAAGGGCTGCACAAGTGTCAACACCAGGGCCCCCGCTCTACAGCACCGTTATCAGCATTTAAGCTTCTTGTTAAGTTTCTTCTGATTCTTAAACAGAACAAGACTTTCAGACTCAGATGCAGCTTTTTTATACCTGCCCCCTTCCCTCCCCCTCTCCCTCCAAGGAAAGGAAAGGAAGGGAAAGGGGAAAGGAAAAAAAAAAAAAAGAAAAGGGAAAAGGGAAAGGAAAAGATCATTAGCCTGACCCCAAGTTAAAGAAAACAAGGCTCCAGTAAATTAAATGGCTCACCTAAGGTCACACAGCTAAAAACGCAGTCACACTACGTGCCTGACTCATCAGACTTCCAAAAACGGTTCTGCCTTAAAAAAATCCTCTCACCTGTTCTCACAAGTAGGAAAAGCAGTGAACTCGCAAGCACACTCCTACCGGAGACGAAGTCCTTTCTCAGCAACTATGTCAAATGCAACTCTACAGTATCAGAAAGTGTTACCTATCACAACCTGATTATGAAAACGTGTGGTTTTTTCTTTTATAAACAAAGGGCATAAATTAAAATGGTAACAGTTAAAATGGAAGGCCAAACCTTATGGCTACAATCGTTATTAGAAGGAGCCACACAGTAGGCAGATATTATTTCAACTAATAAATTTAACTTTTCCTTCACCCTGAACAAAAAGTAAAGATGACCTCATTTCTCCACTATCAGGAGGTTATGACCTTTTAAACAAGTCATCATTTCACACAGGTGCAATTCTTTCCCATCTTGACTTACATTCCTCTTAGCTCTCCGTGTTAAGAAAAAAAAAGGGGGGAGGGGGGAATGTGTTAATGAAAGTCAGAAAATTTCTTGGATCTAGTCTTTCCCTTTTGTTTTGGAAAAAGCAACTCCCACGTGTCAAAGGAAGAAAACTAGAGGTTAAGAATTTAATTAGTAACTCAGAAATCCCCACCAGGAAAACTGGGGGGGTGAGGGGATGGGAGTGGGACCTTCAATGTAATTTTAACCTGAATTGTGAAATATGTATATTCGGCCCTAGCCAAATCTGGCTGAGGAAGGAGACAATAAGGTACCTGTGCTGCAGAAACTTACAAAGAACACAAAAATTAACTAGAACCTAACAATTACGACTATACTATAAAGAGAAAACCTACAAATTTAAGACAAACCATGGATTTTCCAAGCTAGCACAAAGACACAGCTACCAAAAAGCTGAATTACTTTTACAGCTGTATTCCTTGATTAGCCTTTTGCAAAAAATGTACAGTAAATTGCCATCCTAATCAAGGTAAATCAACTTTTTTTTTTTTTTTTTTTAGCACTAAATGACACAATCCGCCTCCCAATCTGATGCACTGGCCACGCCTTGAGCCTCCAACTCCCACACATTCGTCCCAGCCTCTCCACACACTATACTGTCAACCATCAACAATGTGAAGGGTTCGACTGAAGGGACATGAGCGACAAAGTCCTATTTATCACAGGCAAGGCTTTCAGTTTTGTGTTGGCATCCTGACAGCTAACTCAGTCCTCTGCGCCTAGCTTGGCGGGATTAGTGTTATGACATTTAATCATCGTATGGAACAACCCAATAGGGTGTACCTCAATTCACAGGTGGGAAACCGGAGCCTCAGAACCATCTGCCACAGGACGACTGTCCAGAGGAAACTTAACAAGCAGTGGCCTTAGAACCTGGCCCGTGATCTTAAACCTCTAACCCCACACTGCCTCCTAGCGGTGGGACCTGACTGAGCCAGTCCCCTTTTCTCTGGATGGTTCCTCCTGCTACTGCACCAGTCATGACAAATGACTGAAAGCAGGGAGACAGTCCATTTTGCCCAGAAAAAGCACTTCAAGGACAGCACACAGTCAAAAAGGATTATAAAAATTCACCAGCCTCATGAACTGTTGGTTCAGAGTTTATTCTCTGGAGAAAGCCTCTTTTTGCTTTACATCAGAAGATAATAAAATGACAAAACATTACATGCATTAGGAAGGTCTCAGAGCCGACCCAAATATTAAAAGAAAAATAGTTACCTAGCATGACCTTCATTTGATAACACCAACATTTGAATATGGATTTTTCTTTTTTTTTTTTTTAATTACCTGTGGTGGTAGACCCTTATATGGTTAGGTATGTCATTTTCTCATACTATGTCATATGAAAGCAGTTGACTGCTGAGCATGGGTCTTGCACTTATAAAATGTTAAAGTAATAAAAGCGATAAATAAATATTTCACTGGGGCGCCTGGATGGCTCAGTCGGGTTAAATGTCCAGCTCTTGATTTTGGCTCAGGTCCTGATCTCACAATTCAGGAGCCCGTGTTGGGCTTTGCGCTGACAGTGCAGAGCCTGCTTGGGATTCTCTCTTTCTCCCTCTCTGCCCCTCCCCTGTTCACTCACTCTCTCTCTCAAAATAAATAAAAAAAAATACATGATCTCCCAAATATCCCTTATGTAGACATTTACATTTACTGTATTGCAAACGCTTGACAGCACAAAGAGGGGAACATGGCCATTACTTCTGCTCTGGGTCATGATCTAGAATCTTCCTAATGACATCTAAACGTGGTTATATCTCATCTGCCAAAATACCACCTTTTATAGACCAAACACAAAACCATGTGTGAATTAGATCTAAAAGAAAGACTTAATTTCACTTCCAGGCTTTGTCTCTAGGTTGATCATGTGAAATACAGACACGAATCAGGTCTACAAATGAGTTGAATTATAATGGGAATATTCAAAGTTGGAATTGTGATATAGAAACATTTTCAGGATTTTTTTTTTGTAGAGTTACACTTAGATCGACAAGAGTGACCTGTCCATTAATTTTGTATTTCATTTTTGTAAATTTTTATTTTTTTTAATTTTCAACACAGCATTTATTTTTTTTAATTTTTTTTTTTACAAATAGTTTATTGTCAAATTAGTTTCCACATAACACTCACTGCTCATCCCAAGTGCCCTCCTCCATGCCCATCCCCCTCTCCCCCCATGTAAATTTTTATCTTGATTTAATTTCAAGCTTCAGAAAAGTTGGAAGAATAAGGAACCCCTTATTTCAGGTAGCCGTTACCCAGACTCATCAATTGTTTACACTTTGCTTCATCTGATTTATCACCATTTTCCTCCTCACAATCACAAACACGCATTACACACACTTTTGTGGGAACCCTTTGGGAGTGCATTTTAACGTCCTCTTCCCTAATCACAGCGAAATTAAATATGGTATTACATTCTCAAAATGTTTACTAAAAAAAAACTGTGCAAGACATGGTGCGAGATACTGGAGATCAACAGAATAAAAAGCCAAACTAGCTTAGTATTCTGTGATTATTCTGAGGGAGGTTTATTGTCCTGGTCTTGAAATGCTGTAAGTAACTGAATGAACTTAGTCACATGTGAATGACAATTGTGCTTTAATCAATTATCAATTCCGTGCTCAGTTTTTCCTGTTAAGGAAACGAATCTGGGAAGGCCCCACCTCTCCAAAAAAGTCTCTTCAGAATTCTGGATGTCTCATAATCCAGAGAAAAAAGTAAAACAATGTTCAGGAACGGGTTTGTTCAGGTTCCAAACAGAGTCTGACCATTAAGGAAATGTGTAGAGGGAGCACCATTTTTAAGAGCTAACAGTACTGTCAAAGATGGCACTGAGGTCAAGCACAGAGAACAGAGATTTGAATTAAATTAAAGCTGGTTAGGAGTTATTCACAGATACTTTTTGAAACAGAGGACTAAAAGCTAACTAACTAGAAAGAAGACTCAAGGAGACGAATGACAAAAAGAAAAGGGGATGGACACAAAGGAGACGCGAAGGAAGCCTGAGGTTGGGTAGAGAGAAATGAGATATTTTCTTACCACAGACAAGGACCATCACGGGAGCGCTCCAAGCAAGCCAAACAACAGAAGGTGGAAGAGTTTCATTTCCCTTCTTTATCCCTTTTCTCCCTTCGCCCTTCAAAAGAGTTAGCTACTTCTCACCATTTAAAAAGACTCAAAGACAAACAGTTCGCAGATGCAGGACTTCTCAATCATCATATAATTGTCAAGCGAACATCTCACCCAAGGGATAGAGCAGTACGCAAGGGACTACGATCTGGGGCTTTAACATGCAAGTAAACCCA